GATAATATCTCGGTATCATTAACAGAGTGCTTCAAGGTTTCTGAGGCGTGAGACGATCAAGAAATATAAATTGTTCTTATGTGTAGTTTGTGCCATTATCTGAATATACATATATTTGGATTATCAAAACAGATTTCAAGACAAACTCATCCATCACATGCAATGAGCTTTAGACTCCTGTGTTTTAAGTGCAGTCACCACAGTCTGTGACAGATAAGAAGTGGATGGCAAAAGCGGTGAACCTTTGTGACAACTATTCCCCGTTCCAGGCCCAAACCATCCTAATTAGTTTTCCAGGGCTTGTAACTCACCGGCTGTCAAAGTAAAAACCCACTGAAGGTTTGGATTTGGATGCTTTGCCGGCTCATTCACTCCCCCTCCTGTCAGAATTAGGCAGAATTGACTTCTTTTTCAGTCCCGCAAAACTTTGCGAATCAGCGGAAAGTTCATATTATCCCCTATCAGCCTTAACCAGCTGTTGAAAAGGAAGCAGCTGGGGGGTGAACGCTGAGGGCAATGGAAGCACTGAGTTTGGTTTTTCACACAAACGTACACACTGTGTACATACATTCAAGAAGAAGATGAAAATGTGCTCCTGCATGAAAACATATCTGATCGAAAACTAGTCCTATGACACTGAATTTTTAAGGGAACATGTTGACTTTGTGAGCACTTGAACACTTGATTAGAATTTAGTTAATGTCTAAGTAACTCTTGTCTTTGGTCAGGCAGAGCTGGGTAACAATTTCCTGTATATTGTCACTTTTACAAGAAGCCATTTCATCAATTGTTGGAATAAAGAAATAAATCAATGTAGCTTTAAATCTTACACCCAGCAATGTAAAAACATGACTAATATAGCCTTGAATATAAAATGCTATATCATTGAATAGTCGCCATTCCAAGACATACATTTTCATTATATTCCAGCAGCAGCATGAATCCTTATTTGCGGGAGAAACCGCCTGCGAGTCCGTCCATGACGGTGCAGTGTTTGGCAGCGCGCCACATTAATCGCCAGGGCAATGGGAAGACAGGCCTATTGACCAGCAGTCCAATAGGACAGTGAGGCAGGACATACAAATCAAAGCTGCCCGGCCTCATATTGACCTGACTGTCCGCAGAATGTGAGATTCATTCCCTGGGTGATGGGCGAAGGAGGCGCAGGAAGTCACAGGGATTTGATTCAGCTCGGACCTGTGCGAAATTATAGTTGATTATTTAAAGGGAAATTGGAGGTGTATTTGGGGGGAGATGACGTGAAACTCATGGATAAAACATCTGTTTCTACTTTTTTTGCTTTTTAGCTCATGTTTGTGGATTTAAAGGGAAGTTCTCTCCTCTGTCATCTTGTCTTTGTCTCCATTACCGACTCCATTGTGAGAAAGAAAGATGTGAATTTGCACGTTGATTACACCCAAAGCATCAGGAGGCCTCTCCAAGTAAAAACTCTTTGAAAATGTTTTGTGCATCTTGTGAATTCTGTGCAATTTGAAAGACGTCATTAAAAGCTGTGTACATTATGTGTGCTCATTGACGGTGGCTCATCACTAACCTAACAGGACATGTTCTGCATACTGTTGCACATTAAATCTGTCCCTCAGACAGAACTAATGGTGAGCGTGCCCATTAGTGAATTGATCAGGTGGATGTCCGTTCTTCTATTTATTTGTAATGTATTCTATTGGCAGCTGATGTATTAGACACAAAGGACCTTAATTTTAACGAGCTGTCGTTCAGAGTAGCTGTATTTCTGTGCTGAATGTGCACTTTGCTGAGATGTTTCACAACCGGAGGAATAACAGAAAAATATTCCTAACAAAGTGATCTTTGGTTTCAGTGTTAGATATTATGGTCAGATAACAATTATCCCATGATTCCACTTTGTCCCAGTTTTTTCCACATTCACCAAATAGTTTAATTTTGAATCTGAAGAGTCTCTTTTTGTTTTGTCAGTGTTTGAGCATGAGTCTGTTTGTCTTGGATACAACACTGCCGACATTACTTTGCCTGGATAAACACGTGTTCCCAGCTCTGACCACAAAGGTCTGTGTGGCTGAGAGCTCAGACAATAAACTGGATGGCTGCACTGAGGATTAAATGAGCAGACTATTAAAAGTTTTTTTTATTTGTTCAGTAGCTTTGTATTTTCTTTTTCTTAGACTGACATTTATAGCAAACAAACAACAACCATTTATTTTTATTTTATTAATTGAACATTAACTCTGTGGTTAAGAGTCAGGGAGCCACCAGCAGCCTGGTTGTTGAGGGACAGGGGTGGGCTGTGACTGTCCCCTTGTGGGCAGAGTAGTGAACATCTCAATAGGGTTTTAAGGGCATGTGGTCAGAAGGTGACCATTGCTATACCAGCAGAT